CCGCGTCTGGGCTGTGTCTTGCAGACTGAAGTGGCCTCGTCTGGCCCGGCGCGCCGCCCGGTCCCATGGAGCTGGAGGGGCAGTGGTGGCGGGGACAGCTGGCTGCTGATATTCACCAAGCCCTTCGGTACAAGGTAACCTGGGTGCCCGGCCCTGTCCCCTGGGTGCTTGGTGCCTCCTGCCAGTGAGTGTGAATCTCGGCCCCCTGGAAAGTCAGGTTCCTGAACCACTAGTTTCCAGAGCAGAAGAGGCGAGTTTGCCTATTGGCTCAAAGTTAATGAACTTCTCGGCTTCCCTGGATGTCAGAAGAACCTGCAGCTTCAATGAGGGGTGTGGGGTGGAAGGGGGCGGGAAGGGGCCGCGGGGCGTGTAGGTTGGGAGAGAGAAGGTGTGAAGAGATATTCTGATGTTTCCAGGTGGAACAGGGGTTTCGTATTATACTTAAAAAAGCCAGCAGACATCATTTTAGGGGGCAGAGCAGCCTTCCTTGGTCTGTAGTTGCTGATGTATATGCAGCTGTGTGTCATGTCACATTTGTCCATAAATAGTTCCCCAGCCTTTGCACTAGCTTGCTGTGAGACTTCGGACAAGTTACTTAATTTTCTGTTTCCCAGTTTTCCCATCTGTAAAGTGAATAATAATAGGATGTGCCTTCTGGGATGATTGTGAAGATTAAACGAGTTGCTACTGTACGTGTATTGGAACAGTGATTGGCATATAGTGAGCACTAAGAAAGTGATGACTTGTTATTCTCTACCCCACCCTCCCACCCCAAGATTTGGGGCTGTACAAAAAGCCTTAAAGCCTTAAGGTAGAAGGAGTTACCTACTGTTTGCAGCAAATATCAAGGGCAGAAAGTAGACCTAATATACTTAATAGATATGGGTGGGAAAGGAGACACTTTTCTGGCACAATGCAAAGTGTTTTGTTGTTCTTAAGCAACAACTTTACTCTTTATGTCACATCTCAGTTTAATGGTCAGCTTTGCCTCTTTGATAACCAGAAGAGAGACCAGATCCAAAATGATCTCTAATTTGCATCAGTTTCATCATGAATAGAGGAGCCATTCATGCGGTATAGAAAATTAGAAAGAAGCAAAACAGCTGACTCTAATAAAAAGGATGCTGACTGTTGGATTGGGAGATCCAGAAATGATAATGAATTTATATCTTGACTTTTAAAATCAGATTAAGGAGAATTAGAAAACCTAATTTTGACTTAAATTGTTGCAATTGTACCCTTTTTAATTATTGAGGTTTCTAAATGCTACTTATTAATTCAGACACAATATATACATCCTAGTCCTGTAAGTGGTCATACCACAGAAAAGTCTCAACCATGGGAATGGATCTCTGGAATGTTAAGAGAATTTCAGGTTTCCCACTATGAAAATTGTCCTGATATTTTTGGGGGAGAAGGGTAGATGTTGTCTTTTAGTTTTAAATGTTTTTCTTTTCTAAGTGTTAGCTCTTTATCACTCTGGTATATGGTGACGTTAATTACATATTTTTTTAATGATATGAAACTTAAAATATTTTTCTTGGTTATTTCCATTTCCCCCCATAGGTTCTGGTTCTTGTATTTTATGTGTAATTTTAATTCTGAGTGATTACCTGCATTGATTTTATCAGTTTGAGATTGGAAGTGGATTCCTCCCCCCGCCCCAGTAAATTTGTTGAATGCTTTTGTGTATTAGGCTCTGGGGAGGATCTAAGGAATTAGACATAAGTGAACTAAGGTTGCTTCTGAACTATAAGGACAAGA